TTAGAATGACACAGAATCGAAATGTTTGTATTTAGAAACTACTTTTACATTGAAAAGAATTTGATTTTCCTTTACTGTAGAACTCATGGCACAGCTCCAACTGACTTAAGATTCTGGCCCCCTTGCAAGATCAGAAAGGAGTAGGGTGATCTTAGATAAATAATCAAATGAAAAGTACTTTTCTGAGTAAAGTTTATAATAAATTCCATGCTACTGTTGTCACCAAAACATTAAATCTCTAAGGAAGGTTGATTTGAAAACCAGCTTACAACAATTCACTTGAATAGTCTGTGGGCCCAAAAGGTTATTTACAAAATCTGCACTTGTATTGCTATCCTGTCAGCTTCCTTCTAACTAGTGACAGCAGGAAGATTCAGCCAATTTCGTGAAGATATCTAACTGCTGCATAGACAACTCCAGTCCAGCAACTATTATTATATCTGTATCTTATCTCTAAAACAACATATATTTTAATTCTCATTGGAATTGCTGTTTGCCGTGTTCTGCAAGTTATCAAATTTCTTCCAGCTGCATGCAAGGGAAAAAGCTTGTGAACAAATGGGAAAACTCAATTTATTCAATTTGTTCATGTTTCTCATAGCTACATTTCCCCTATTTCTACAATGTTTCCCTCTCTTTTTTAAATGTGAGAGAATTGCAGAATATATAATGACAGGAAAGGTAATTAAACTATTCTTATTTTGTGGCCTGCTCTGTAGAGTTTGCAGCCTTCAGACTGTTTATTGATCTATGTTCAGTAATATGGCAGTTGTCACACTCAGGTATATAGGGGACGAGTGTCACAATATTAAAAGCACTGTCACTGTCGTCTGATCTATCATCTGTCTACAAAGTCACTTTTCTGGACCGAGATGGATTATGAAGTAAATGCGCTTGGCTCTCTCTGGTTAAAAGGCAACTTTCATCTCCATTTCCACATCAAAAGTTTGCATGGTTGCAAGAGAAGTGGGTAGAGGGAGAGGAGAGGGAGAAAGTACATGTAGTCAGTGGCTTTCAGCCATATGACCAGAAACATAAGACTCACAGAATGATTTGGATTGGAAGGGACCTTCAAGATCATTTAGTTTCAACCCCACTGCCATAGGAAAGGACACCTTCCACTAGACCAGGTTGCTCAAAGCTCCATCCAACTTAGCCTTGAACACTTCCAGGGAGGGGGCATCCACAGTTTCTCTGGGCAACCTGTGTCAGTGTTTCACCAAAATTTCTTTCTAATATCTAACCTAAATCAGCCCCCTTTCAGTTTAGAACTGTTATCATCCTTTAATTCCCTCCTCATTTTTCCTATAGGCTCCCTTCAGGTACTGGAAGGCTGCTCTAAGGTCTCCTCAGAGCTTTCCCTTCTCCAGGCTGAACAACCCCACTGCTCTCAGCCTGTCCTCATGACAGAGGTGTTCCAGCCCTCTGATCATCTTTGTGGCCCTTTTCTGGACTTGCTCCAACAAGCCCATGTCCTTTCAGTGTTGGGGGCCCCAGAGCGGAACACAGTTCTCCAGATGGGGTCTCACAAGAAGGGAGTAGAAGGGGAGTATCTTCTCCCTCTACCTGCAGGCTGAAGTGAGGACATGGCTTCAGCTCTTCCCCAGTTATAAATTACTTTCTTTTTGTGAATTTGACTTGGGAACAGCTCAGCTGTAAAGCAGGTTTGGTACATCACTGGTACATCATCTGATTCTTATGCACAGTAGTACATGATAATGTCTGTCTTACTCCTCACTGACTACCTCATCACTGAACTCCAAGAGGGAGAAGGAGAACAGAGAGCAAGGCCTGAAGTCCATGTAAAGAGCCAGAATTGAAGTATTTTAAGGCTATGTGCAATGATGAATTTTAATTCCAAAGAAATTCTGTCTTGCTACCAGTTACATTCTGACCATTTTCATGTACCAATATGCTTGCTGTGTTTTGTTATTTAAATTAATTATTTCAAAATTTGATTGGCAATCACATAGACTGTAGAGAATGTGGTTATTAAAGCTGAATGCTGGCACTCTGTCATACAGTGTATAACCACAGCAGGTGAGCAATAATCACCCAGATATGTTCTGCCACACATATCTGATTACTTACATTAATTTTTTAACATGAAATTGTTATTAAAAATTGTCTTCTAATTCGTCTCACTTCATTACAATGGGAATCACAATTTACATATTCATAATACACAGAAGCAGATACATGAAAATCCTTGGTATTGCTTTTCTTTCCTACATTTCTATAATTTCATCTCCTATGGTACACAGAGATTTTTGTTAAAATTGGCATCTGTTCTGCATAATCTGCAACAACAGATTGGATACTATATTTTGAAACCATTTTAGTACCTCTTCATTGTGATTTCATGATGAAAATCCATAATTCTAGCCACAACAAAATCAGGTAAGCTTTTAGAAATCTCTGAGACTGCTGGGATAAATTAGGGTTCAATGTCCTGTGCTAAAATCCTGAAGCACAACTATACCATCTGGACTGTAACAACAAGTTAGTTTGTTAGTGATAAGTAAAGGAGGTGTATAGGGACCTGTCCTGTCACAAGCAGTACAGCGTGTTGATCACTGTGATAGCAATGCAAGTTCCATTGCTAATACAATTAAAGCTAATGAAGACACAGAAATAGGGATGATTATTTTATCTCAGTAGCATTTTAACTGCATGTAATTACCGTATGTATACCTCTATGGAAAAAAAAAAAAAATGCATTTATACTATTTGGCCGCTAGTAAAAAGAGAATGTTTCCCATCTTTAGTGTCTCTTTTAATAAGGTCTCAGCTTGCAGTCTTTGCAATAACAAAATGCTCATGTAAGGAGGGGAAGACTAAAAATAAAAAGACACTGGTTCAAAACTTGCATCTCCCAAGTACCAGTGGAATACTGTTACGTGACTATTTTTCTAATGTCTGAAAATGCTGGAACTAAAATGCAGAAACCCTTTCCATACAGGGCAGGTGTTTAGCTTGGCAGAACCTAGGACTTCAGAAGCAGTTATCTCCAGGTGGGTGCAACAGGAGAAGTCAGCACCCTCAGAACCTTCTGTCATGTTCTTGTAGAGAAAACTGTCCCCTCCTGACTATCTGCTCTGGCTAATGATGAAAAATGCCACCATTTACAACCTCATGTTTTTTTCCCCAACCAAATGGCTGAAGTCTGCAGTAGGAATAATTCAATAGTACAGCTTATCTTTTTGCCCAGTGGGTGTCTTCATTGAAGAGTGGCTATGAAAGCCACTCTTGTGGCCACCATGTTGATGATGACCGAAGCCTTTAAGATTCAGACCTAAGTAAGTTTAAAAAAGAAGAAGGATTCTAGGATCACAGCCACAAATATCTTGGCATTTCAAAGGAAACACAATGAAGCTAACACATAGCACACATGGTACTTGGTTCTTTTAAAAGAAAGCCACATAAAAAACCCTTCTATGTAGCGGCATATTGTAACAGAAGTGCTTGTAAACTCTTGATGTGCAGATGTTAGTAAGACAGCTATGAAAATCCAGTCAGATCTAAAGCTTGGCATTAGTACTTTTTAGCCAAAGGGTGTGTTTTACAGTGCAAACTACAAAGAAATTAACTAAATCATGGGAAAATAACCAAACTAGGTAACATTTCAATCCTTAAAAAAAACCCCGGAAGAACCCTAAGAAAATTATTTTTATACAATTTTGATATCTTATGATTAGACAGGTGTTAGTCTGCTAGCAACACAATCTTCCAGTACTTAGAAAGCATAAATATAAGACATATAGTTTTAATTTATATATTGAGGATGATATCAGGGTCCAAGGTGGCAGAGCAGAGAAAAAGAGAATGTTTTCTTATAGAAATATAACATACATACACAAATACATATAGAACACTGTTATTTATATTAAAATATATTATGAATGCTGATATATACATATATAAACTAAATAAACAAAACCTAATATATAATGCATGTCAACCATATAAAGCATAATAATATTTAATAAAGTAAAAGGTATTCCACATAACATAACATATGGAATATGGCATTGTATGAATTGTATGTATATTATAAAAATAATAAAAATAAATACCTTATAAACAGTAACTTCTATATGACGTTCACTTCACAAGTAAGCTGCTTGGCATATAAGAAGCCTTAAGTCTTATTTTTTAAAAACGTCTTGTAAAGTTCTGATTCTAATTAACTTACATTTTAAGTTAATTGTAATTACATTGTAATACACTGCAAAAGCCTAATTCTGATTAACTTCACTATGATGATGGAATTATTTCTAATAGACACTAGCATAAGCAGAATCTGTACAAACTGTCACATAAGCTTAGATTTATCCACTACAGAAAAAGCAGAGGCTTAATTAGGTGAATCTTCAGATAATTTCTTTCAAATCAGTTTACATTTCCAAAAACAAGTATTCAACAAAAAGAAAAGCAATTCTAACTACCAAATACTAATCACAGTTAATGCTAATGTCATTTTTATGTGTGGAGACAGAACTTTGATAAAGTTAGAGCACATGCACATTTGTGCAAGCATGTGGACCTATTTTAGTTCTCAGAGGAATTCAGTGAAGCTAGAAGGCACTGAAGCCAGGAAGCACAACTTCTAGCTTTAAAAACATCTTTGTAGCAGTCATCTAAGATACAGATAAAGTGTGTGACTTTTTGGGATAATTCTCTCTATCCAAAGTGATGTCAATTTTTGGGATGGCTAAGGCAGCTACTGATCCATGGGCTGAATTTATCTTACAAGAACTTCTTTTCACCTCCTCCTCTACCTGACAGTGAGGAGACTGAAGATATGCTGTCCACTTCATCCCACACAATCTGCAATTTGAAGCCATCATCTCCATCATCTAAGCATGGCTCCCACTGCTAAAAAGGCAGGGCTCCCTTGACATGATCACTGACAATGCCAGAACCACCTGTTCTGTTTTCAGAATATGCAGGATTGTGTATCAATGTATGAGAGTATCAGCGATGTCTCTGCAACTTACCTGTCAATAATGGCACACATGTCAATGGTGACATTGGCAAAGCTTCCCAGCTTGCCTTGCTCCACTGCGTATAAATCTACCAGCTGATCATCCACGTGAATAAACTGCATGCATCCTTGAAATGAATGCTGAAATAGCGAGTGATCGGAATCATTCATCTGTATAGGAAACCCTGTAGAGCAGTAGAATAAAGAGCATTATTAACATCATATACTATTATTCAAGTCTGTATTTTTTTCACAGGAAAAGACATTTTCTAGATGGGGTAAGTAAAATGCAAAGAGGGAAGTTAACAATATACAGTTCTTAGATTGCACTACAATGTTATTGATTTAAGTTATTGGCAATTACTGGTAAGAATTTATAAAGTACATCTGATGATTCTTTCATTAATCTTTGCCTACAGGATAGAAGTCTTCAGCTATCCTTCTCCTCTTCCAGCCCTCTACTGCTGTTTCTCAGTACTTCTCTCTTCATACAAAGATTCAGGGAATAGGAAAGGGATTAATCTTCTTGCTATATGTTAAGAATCACTTTCCCATTTCTCAGTTTTTTCTGAGAAAAACGTATTCCATGTAGTCCACTACGTGATTTTCCAGTTCATATTTTTTTTAGAAGAAGGCTGCCAGGGCAATGAATAGTTGCCCTGGAAACTTACTGAAAACTTAAAACTAGCCCTAAAATCTAATATCCTGGCCCACTTCTGAGGAATCTGAAGACATTCTGCAGTTATTTTCATTTTTTCTCTGAGTGCATTCATTTGCCTGTCTTTCTGAAGGTGATTTATATGAGTTGAAAATTAATTAGTATCTTTCATGCTAAAAGGCAAGGAGACAGGATGCTCATATGTAATTGTTCAACTTAACGCACTTCAGAAGTGAATGTATCAATTTACTTGAGAAAAATATCCTTGATAATACAGTGGAGAGCCTCCTTCACTACTTATAAATCTTCAACAATAAACTCCCTGAAAAAGCCAAAAGAAAATAATTCAGACAGAATCTGTTTAAGATGAGAGCAGGAAGGGAGAGAGGTTAACAAAAGGTAAAGAGGTAAAGAAGGTAAAAAGACTGAAAAATGCATAACGGTATAGCAACTTTCAGCTAGGAAGATGACTAAACATGCAACTCTTGACTGACACAGGTAAAAGAAATTGTTTTGGTAGTTAAGACAGACTATACAGCTCCAATTCCTCCTCCCCTTTTCCTACCCAGCTTCTGATCCCCAATGCCTTACTGCCATCTCAAATAGCATGGAAACAGCTATTTGTTGAGATAGGTTATCAAACTGATATTGTTTGAGTGGCAGCAGGAAGAAAGAATGAACATAATTTTACATTCTGTTCCTGAATGCAGTTTATCACAGATCACAAAAATAGTTGGATTGACAGTGAACAGAATAGAAGGCAAAAACAAGCATTTGGGGCTCGAGGACAGATGCTGCTTAATGTGGCACCTATTACTAAAAAAACCCCCAGATACAAGTAAGTCTTCCCCAAAATATAATTAAGACCCATTTCAATGGACAGGCTTTGCAAGAACATTGATATGACCAGTAATGTTTTTTTTTAAATTTTCTAAAACAGTCTTGTCCATCTGCTAAAATTACTGGTGGTAGCTCCTAAATTTCCCTGACTCACTTCAGTAGGCACTTGCTTCAGAGTTCACTGCTGGCACCACAGAATTAAACAGGAATGTTACAGTAATTAAGCAGTGGGCATGCAAAAAGTTGGCTCTGACAGGATTTCAAGAAATTGGGCAAAGGCTTGTCTTGAGGTCATACCACCTTTGGAGCAAAATTGTGACACTATCACAGGCAGCCATAAGCTGCTACAAGAAAGATAAGAATCCCCCATACTAGTATGCATCAGACGGAGAAGGAAAAATTCCTAGGGATCCCCCAGTTGCCTAACTAGTGCATAAGAACCCTACCAGACCAACTGCCCACCACCAAAGCTGTGCTAATCCTAGATTGTGGGACTGGTAGAATTTTAACTACCAGTCTAACTACCAACTGTGCTAATCCTAGATTTTGGACTGGCAGAAAAGTCAAATTGTAGGGATGGGATTTATAATCTCTTCCCAGCATATGCATTGGCTAGTGACTTATCTGATGAAAAGAGGACAGAGCTTTCAGAAACCTCCCTCCTAGTTTTTTTTACTTGTTCTTTCTAGTGGCTGATTGAACTGGTTCATCTGCAGCTTTACAGACAACAGTACTGAGAGACAGAAACTGCAAGTTAATTCACTGTTTAGTGAATAAAAGAAAACATTTGCATGTTCCTATCAGGTGCTTTCTCAAATTATATTTAAACTGCTCACTCTTTCAATATAATTGTCTGGTTTTTGAACTGTCCCTGAAACTATCCTGTAACTCCTTCTCACCAAGAACCCCAAACTAACATCAAGCACATCATCATTTAGATCTTTAGTGCATTCGCAGAGCTGTACCAAGAAACCTGTGTATCATCATCTGGTTCAAAGCACTTCCACAATTCCTTTGTTTTAAATATTAAGTTCAAGAGTACCAACACTGTGGTAAAATCTTAGTAACAAGGATATTATAAGAATATATCTGAATATAATGAAAAGATTATCCACCATCCTTCAAGCACTAACTGAAAAATAAGAACCTAAAACCACAACCCATTCTTCACATCAAAAAGTTTAAGAGTGAAATAACTAAGCCACGAGCGAATGCTAGCATTGGAGAACCACAGAAGCATCTCTCTATGTGATTCTCAGCTTCAATGCATCTGAAGTATCAGTTCTTAACCTACACTACATTAGCTCACAGTTCGTATTATTGGTCTCTGAGATATATTCTGCACTTTGCTACTGGTTGAACTGCAAACAGAAAGTAGAAGCTGGGTCCCTCAGCCTAGGCCAAGACCCAAGCTCCTTGGGTTCCCAGGCTGGCCTCCACTAGCTGCAGTAGGAGTGAGTCACAGGCTGGAGGTGGTGGCAGCTCCTAATCTAACTCCATAAACCAAGATTTCCTCTCTTACCCAAGAGAGTGGTGCACACCGAGAATTAGTCAGCTTGGGATTCTGAATTTTGATGTATCTATCAATGGAAGAAAAGTACAACTTGGTCACCCATATGTCTTTGTTTACCATCTTCTGCTACTCCCTTTACTGATTCTAGTCATGTAAGGAACTGGGAGAGGATTTAATGCAGTTGCACTGTATCCTGAATAAATTGTCTTTGTGGCTGACTGGGTGTCCAGGCATTTCAGTCATGCCATTCCTGTAACAGATAGTTACGCCAAGGGATAATTTCAAACAACAATTCACTACCCACAGGGAATGGAAGAATGGTGTTTTTTTCAAACCATATATTTCTCACAAACCAAACCTTTCCTAACACCAACTTTTTTCTACTGTAAATTTGTTGCCATAGCTTGGACGAACTGTTCAGGATACATTTATGGAATATACTGTTATGTAAAGAACTTAGCACATGGGAAAGAAATTAGATACGCCTTGTATAGAACAACTGTTTCATTTTTGAACTATTACATATACAGTCTAATGTCCACTAATTTTGGTGGCATCTGGACATTTTAGATAAGTCTAGTCTTAGTCACCTGGGACAAAGCTTCTGCCTCAAAATGCAAACTTGAAAATCACCCAGTACCTTGCACTTGTTAGCCTTCCTCTTCCAGATTTCCATTACTGAGACATGATTCACTTCCTCATCCTTGCTACAGTGAATGAAATTTTAATTAAATTAAGTTCAGCAACCAAGGCTGACAGTAATGCTGTTACTAGAAAGGCTAAATAATGGATGAACAACTTGGACAACGCTGTATTGATCTTCTTGCTGACAAGAAAATGTGTACATTTTCAAAACACACTTAAAATGCGGTTTCGACAGTTTAAAACAACGTTGCTGTTTATGATTACAAATGCACTTTGAAGTCAGGTAGACTCCCTTAGCCTGTAATTTCTACATCTTTGTGGCTATTTCTGTATAAAATCTAAATCTTTCAATATTATTTTTTACATTTTAAACCCACAAAAAGATGGATTCTCCTGCAACAGTCAGACATGGATTGAATCTGAATTCTCTCCACAGTTCAAGGAGGTTTGTTTCCAGGACTTTGCTCTACCTACGAAACACAGTACAGCCAAAACTCTAGATCCAGGTCCTGAACTTCATTCAAACTTGCAAGAAAAAAACAGAAAATCTGTAGTTTGGATTAATGCTGTTTTCAATGTTAGAAATACCTTAATGATAATAAACCAATAAGTAAATAATAATAGGTATAATGAAATACCTATGAAATCAATAAAAACAGTATCTCTTTTCCAGTGTCAAGATTTATTATACCTATCTTCTAATCACCTGAGTAAGGTTCTACTAAAGACATTACCAGAATGGAAGCTGAAGGAAGAATACATTCAGATTCGTGCCATAATAACAAAAGAACACATAGAGCATGTTATTAAACAAATGATGCAGTACTTGTTTCTTAGATCTGACCTAAGAATGATGCATCATACTAGATTCTGAATACGTAACTAGGTATTACTTTTTATCCCTGTGTGAAACATTCAGATTTTCTCTGAAATGTAATGGAAGTTCCATTGTGACAAGAAGTTTTTCTTCACAGCTTGTGAGAACACTTCATCATTACATTTATTTTGCTTGCCTTTTGTTTGATATATAAGTTAATGATGGACTACTGTTTGTATACAGATGGTACTTGGCATTTTACTTCTTTAAATGAAAAAACACACATCATTAAACAAAAGGAAATAAGTAACTGTTATCTCCAATATCTAACTGGTAGTCATGGGGTAGCTGCAGAATCTAGTCATCAACAGAAGAAGTGACTGATCTCAATTCTGACAGTGATTTTTATTAACATGGTATTTCTAGTGTAAGTCCTGGATCCTTGCTATGCAGAATGAGAGGAAGAAAACAATTTTCTTTATTTGTTGGGATAAACAGCAGCACAGTGTTTTTTAAGGGTCAAGGAATTTTCAAATTTTCTATATGCATCATGCCGAGTCAAAAGATGTTATTCTGCACGCACAGAACAAAATCCAAATCTAGTGTGCAACAATGTACTTCAGTTGAAGATAGAGCTAGTGTTTCATATGTTAATAAACAGGAAAACACACTAAAATAAAAGCTCAATACACCTACATACCCAAATTCACGT